AGTAAGTGTCAAATGTCTGAGGTCGGATTTGAATTCAGGTCCTCCTGACTCCAAGGCCAGAGCTCTATCCACTGTGCCACCTAGCTGCCCCAGGTATACACAGTTTTATAGCCTTTTGGGCACAGTTCCAAATTGTTCTCCAGAATGACTGGAACAGTTCATAACTCCACCAATAGTTTATTATTGTATCTCTTTCCCCACATCCCTTCCCGTCACTTCTGATTGGTGTGAGGTGGTCAACTAGAGAATGGTGATTATTTTTATAAATTTGACTGAGTTCCCTATATATTTGAGAAATGAGGCCTTTATCAGAGAAATCTGCTGTAAAATTTTTTGATAATACTTCACCATTTCCGGTACCAATTAGCAAAATGTGGTTTCCCTAATTATCTCTCTAATTAGATCTCTTTTTGCTTTTGCTTTTTATGAGATCATGATTGCTACCCCTGCCTTTTTTGCTTCAGCTGAGACATGATAGATTATGTTCCAGCCCCTTATTTTAACTCTGTGTGCCTGTCTTTTTGTTTCAAGCGTGTCTCTTGTAAACAACATATTGTTGGATTCTAGTTTCTAATCCATTCTGCTATTGACTTCTATTTTATGGGTGAGTTCATTCCAGTCACATTTACAGTTATGACTACCGTGTATTTCCCTCCATCCTATTTTCTTCTGTTTATCCTTCTTTCTCTTTTTACCCTGGCCCTCCTCAAAAGTCTGTTTTGCTTCTGATCACTGCTTCCCTTAATACACCCTTCTTTTTATCACTTTCTGCTCCCTCTCCCTTCATCTTTTCTCTTATCCCCATTCCCTCCTACTTCCCTATTAAGTAAGATAAGTGTGTATGTATGTATGTATATGTATTATATACACATATGTATATATACACATATATCTTCATATACAGACATACATATTCTCCTCTCTTTGAACCAATTCCAATGAGAATGAGGTTCAAACATTGTTCACTACTACCCCCCACTTTCCCTTCCACTGTAAAACCTTTTCCTTGAATGCCTCTTTTATGTGAGATAATTTCTTCTTCCTTCCCTTTTCTCTCAGTGTATCCCTCTTTCACTTCTTTTTTTATGGGGGGGGGGAACCATCCCAATGTAATCGACTCACACTCATGCTCTCTGTCTATGTAGATTCCTTATAACTTCCCTTATAATGATAAAGTTCTCAGGAGTTATGTGTATCATCTTCCCATATAGAATTATAAACAGTTTAATTTTATTGAGTCTTTTAGATTACTCCTTCATAATTACCTTTTTATGCTTCTCTTGAGTCTTGTGTTTGAATGCCAAATTTTCTATTCAGCTCTGGTCTTTTCACCAGGAATGCTTGAAAGTCCTCCATTTCATTAAATGTTCATTTTCCCCCTGAAAGACTATACTCAATTTTGCTGGGTAGGTTGTTTTTGGGTGTAAGCCTAACTCCTTTGCCTTCCAGAATATCATATCCCAAACCCTCCACTCCTTTACCATGGAAGCTGCTAAATCTTGTGTGATCCTGACTGTGGCTCCACTCAGTCTGGCAGTTCTGGAATTTGGCTATAATATTTCTGGGAGTTTTCATTTTGGGATCTTTTTTAGGAAGGGATCAATGGATTCCTTCAATGTCTATTTTATCCTGTGGACCTAAGATATTAGGGAAGTTTTCTTTTATAATTTCTTGAAATATGATGTTTAGGCTCTTTTTTGATCATGGCTTTTAGGCAGTCCAATAGTTCTTAAATTATCTTTGTTCAATCTATTTTCCAAGACAGTTATTTTTCAGAGGAGATGTTATCGTCATCATCGTTTTCTTCTTCTTTTTCTTTATCTTTTTCTTCTTCTGTTGTTGCTTTAATGTTTCTTGATTTCTCATGGAGTCATTAGTTTCCACTTGTCCAATTCTAATTTTTAAGGAGTTATTTTCTTCAGTGAGTATTTGTACCTCTTTTTAAACCATTTGGCCAATTCTGCTTTTTAAGGAGTTCCTTTCTTCAGTGAATTTTTTTTGCATTTTTACCATTTGGCTTATTCTATTTTTTAAAATGTCATTTTCTTCAATGAATTTTTGTGCAACTTTTACCATTTAGCCAATTCTGATTTTTAAGGTGTCATTTTCTCCAATGTTTTTTGTGCCTCTTTTTACCAAGTTGCTAATTGTCTGTTCATAATTTTCTTGCATCACTTTAATTTTTTTTCCCAAATTTTCCTCTATCACTCTTACCTCTTTCTTTAACTCTTCCAGGAATTCTTGCTGGGCTTCTGTCTAATCTGCAGTTTTTTCCTTTGACACTTTGCTTATAGCTGTTTTTACATTGTTGTCTTCTTCTAGTTTGTGTTTTGGTTGTCTCTGCCACTATAGTAGCTTTTTATGATCAGGTTCTTTTTTTTTGTTGTTGCTCATTTTTCCGGCCTATTTCTTAACTTTGATCTCTCTGTTAAAGTGGGGCCTGTTTACCTGGGGTGGAGAGGCACTGTTCCAACCTTGAGGTTTTTTTCATGCTGCTGCTTTCAGGGTTAGTTCTGGGCATCTGAAAATTTTTGGTGCTTCCAAGGTGGTGTGATTAGGACAGAGGTATGGTCACTGCTCTCCTGGTCTGAGCTCTGGTCTTTACCCATGAAGGGCCCCTGCTCTCCTACAGCTATAAGCCCTAGTGCTCCTCTCTGCCCTGGAATCCCAACCAGGGCCCCTACTCCCTTGTAACTGACCACAAACACTCCTCTCCATCCTAGAACTGAGACTTAGAACTGCATATGGGCAACAGAATTGCCAAATAGCACCAGGTACTATACGCAGTGCCAGCAAAGGGTTCCCTTTATCCTCTTTCTGACCGGCTGTCTGACCCCCTTATGTCACTGGGGTGAGAGCTCCCAAAGCTGAAGACAGGGCTCTTGTTCCCTTGTGACCGTGACTATTCCTCTCTGCCCTGGTACTGTGACTCAGAACTGGGGTAGGGGTATCACAGCTGCCAGATAGTCCCTGTTCCTGCTCCTAGTTGTTAGTATAGGGGTCCCTTGGGATATCTTTCTACCCAGATATTCAGTCTCCCTACCATCCCTGGGCGCTGGGCTGCTCCCCACTGCTGTTGTCAACCACAGCCAAGTTTTGCCGCTTCTGTTGTTGCTGTCCACTCCTGACCAGCTCCCACACAAGTGCCTGCAAACTTTTCTATCTTCCTAAGCTGCTCTGGGCTAGAAAGACATCTCATTTTGACTTTTTCTTGGCTTTGTTGCTCAGAATTCAGTTTGGTGCACTTTTTATGTTGTTGTAGAAGAGCTTTTGTAGGAGCTGAAGTGAAGTTGCCAACTTCTCACTTTGCCATTTTGACACCCTCCAATTCACAATGCCCCAATATTTACACAAATACCTTAATTTAAACATTTTCAAAATGAATTATCCCCTTTCCGCTATAGCCATACCACCTAGAATAGGCAGGCAATAGCATCACAATGAAACACAAGTAGCTTAGTTTTAATCCTGACTGGTGGAGGACATTCAGTAGGGTCTAGCAGAATAGAAACTGAAATAAGTGCTTTCTAATTCCCCAAGGGAAGATGCAGTTAGGTGGTACAGTGGATAGAGCACTGGGTCTAAAGTCAGGAAGACCTCAGTTCAAATTTGGCCTCAGATACTTACCAGCTGTGTGACTCTGGGCAAGTCACTTAACCCTGTTTGCCTGTTTTCTCATCTATAAAATGAACTGGAGAAGGTAATGGCAAACCACTCCAATATCTTTGCTAAGAAAATGGGGTTAGAAAGAGTCAGAAATGACTAAAATGACTGAACAACAGTTCCCCAAGAACCTCAGTGTTAACAGCCTCTGGCTCATGGACACCTGGTATTGGCAAGACTAGACATAACTGCTAGTTACCACATATAACAATTAAATGATACATTTCCTTCTTTTCTTCATCTCTTCCCTTTTCTTTCTGCTAAGTCCCTTCTCATGCCATTATACTTATAAACAGAAATTATTTTTTTAATTAATGAAGACTAAAGGCCTTACTTTTCAAAGATATCACAATTTTCCACATGGTAGAACACAAAGTATGGATAGAAGGGACCATTTGTTATCCTTGACACATAATTTGCTCAAGTTAAAAACAACTTCTTTTCCTCTATCTTCTTACTTCAAAGAGGGGGAAGTTCATTTGAGGACACTACCAACAATGAAGGGCATCAGTGAAGGTGGCAGACTAGACTCCAGATGCTCATAAAAAATATAACAAGTATCTAGATCCCAGGGTTGCCACCACACTCTACAGTGGAACTTATATGAAAATGGTAGGTACAAATATTTTTTATAATAGTTGGTTTCTCAAAGTCACCTAGAATGAATAACTGTCCAATTATTTCCAGTTTAGTGCAGAATGAGCCCATAGTAGTATTTACTTTTAAAACTAAATTTTTTATTTTTTTTAATGAACTAAATCTATTTTTTCTTTCTCCCACTTTCTCCTTCAATTGAGAAAAGAAAAAGAAAAACAATACCCTTGCAACAAATATTTTGTCAAATAAAACTAATTCCTTCATTAGCCATGTCCAAAAAATATAAGTCTCCTTTGGTACTCTGAATCCATCAAACAGCATGTTTCATCCTGGATCTTCTGGAATCATGGTTGGTCACTATGTTGATCAGGGTACTTAAGTCATTCAAAGTGATTTGTCTTTAGAATTTTACTGTTATATTATATGTGTTGTTTTCTTTATATCAGTTTATACATATCAAGTCATCATAGGTTTCTAGGAAACCATTTCTTTCATTATTTCTTAATACACAATAGTATTCCATGAATTCATATACCTTTGTTCAGCCATTCCCCAATTGATGGGTATTCCCTTAAGTTTTCAGTTCTTTATCACTACAAAAAGAATTGCTATAAACCTTAGTAATATTTAATTCAGAATCAGGATAGCCCCAGAATACTGCTCATTACATGGTATCCAAAGCACATTAACCTTAATAATATAGAGCCACCAATGCTTGCCCAAGAGACATATTTACCCACCACATCATTTGGGAGGCTTTGAAGATCATCAAAAGGAGTTTCCAGAGTGTTGGTATCCACATTCAGAATCACAACATCTTCCAGGGCCATAGTCCTAACTTTCTGTAAATAATCACATGTAAAAGAAAGAATATGTTGAAATTTGGAGTGCATTCATGAATAATAATGATATCTCAGATTTCTATAGTAACATGGTACATGATATAGGTTTATATTATGATAATATATACATAATATGAGGCAATAAACTATGTCATGTATTTTACAGCAACATGATAATAATAGCACATTTCTATACTTTAAGATTTACAAAATGCTTTCCATGAAAAATTTCTGTAAATTAGGGAATGGAAGTAATATTTCCATTTTGCAGGTGGGTAATTGAGGATAATTTTATTAAGGTGACTTTCCTAGTCACACATAAAATAAGTATTAGAGCTAGGACTTGAATCTAAGTGTTATGCTTCCAAACCCAGGGCCTTTCACCCTATACCATGCTGCCTCTTTTGCAAGGTTGTCAAAATATCCAAATGCGTCACCTAGTACTTTTTACTCCCTAGCAGCTGATAGGAATTAGTCTTTATTGCTCCACATTATTTTACGGGTTCATCTTCCTTTCATAGTTAATGTTCGATGTTCTATAATTCTAATGTTTTAAGATTCCATCTTGCTCTAACATTCCATGTTCCAAGGTTGCCAGGAGAGCTATCATCGAATGATTCTATAATGGTTGCCATTTAGAAACTTTTTGGTCACTGATTACACTAAGGAACATGAGCAAAAAAGACTCAAAAGAGGAGTAAGGGAAGGAAGTACTTGGTGTCTCTAGTACAGCCACTATCTACTCATTAAGAGCAGCTGACTCCAAATTTTTTTGATTGTGCAACCCAATCAGTTAAAAATGTTCAAGCATGTACCACTAATATATGTACATTTAACTTGTGTATGAGTTATATAAAGAAGCTGGGTGTCACAGGGGATAGAGAGCTGGTTTCAGAACCAGAAAGACTTTGGGGCAAGACCCACCTCAGATACATATTGACTGGGTCTCTGGACAAGTCACTTGACTTCCTGCTTTTCTAGGCAATTCTCTAAGAGAATAAATTGCAGAGAACATGCCAACCTGCATTAGTACAGGGATATTCTTTAGCTGGGAGTTCTTATACCAGTGAAATAACAGGTCTATTCTTAGCCCCATCCCTACAAATTACTAAATAATTTATCCCTATAAAATGCTTGTATTAATAATTATATATTATAAAACATTAAATAGAAAAATTTAAAAGATGAGATGAAGATGAAGTAACATTAAATCCTAAAGTCAGCAGGGAACCACTGGAGTTTACTGAGTAAATGGTGAGATGGCAGGAAGGTGGAGAGACCAATTAGAAACATGTTGCAAGAACTCTGGTAAGAGATGATAATGTTCTGAACACAAGTGGTCACTGTGTATAGAGAGAAGGGGATAGAGGAGAGTTTTTGGAGGTAGAAATGATAAGATGATTTCTGTCATGACAAGAGGGGTGAGAGACTAGGGTTACACCAAGGTTCAAAAATGGGTTCTGGGAGGAAGGCGAGATTGAAGGTGCCGCCCTCAACAATAAGGGGACGATAAGGTAAACAATTCCACCTCTCCCTGTCTATTCATCCTGTGTGGCTCTTTTTGTCCCACTTAAAAACAAGAAGTGGGGAGAGTCAGGTTCAGTGCTCTTATTCATAGGTCATTGCTGCAAAGGGCAAAGCCCAAACCAGTGAGAGAAGTCTGATGCAACCTGGAGGTGATCTATTCTAGAGATGCAGGAGGCAGAGGATGGGGGCGTAAGTTTTGTCCACATGGTACCAGCAAGAAGTGAAGAAGGTCTGAATGAGGTTAGTGACTGTGTGAGTAAAGAGAAGGGGGGTGAATATGAGAGGTGTGGAGGTAGAACCAAGATTTGACAACTGATTAGGTATGTGAATATGGGGTAAAGGAAAGAGGTTAAGGTTGTTAGAATGTGAATGGCTGGAACGACGGTGCCCTTGACAGTAGTAGGGAATTCTGGAAGATGGGTATGTTTGGGAAGGAAAAGAATGTAATGATATCTAGAACCAGATCACAATTCATCCATGCCTTCTCATCCTGTATGATCCATTCTTTTCCACCCAAAATCAGAAGGGGGAAGGTATGTCTCTTACTAGTCACTACCTCCAAATGGAAAGCCTGGGGGTAATTCCAACAGCATGTGAACACAACCAGTTTAGAAAGGGAAAGACTAGAAGCTTGTACAACACAAGGAGATCAGAGAGGAGAGGAGAGGAGAGGAGAGGGGTAAGTGTTGAGGGATAAATATAAGTGTGGAGACGTTAAAGATAAATCCTAATATTAGCACCATTGCAGTAAGGGTGGGATACAACCTGTCTCACCACCCTCCAAGCGGCCAGTCACTTGGAGTTAGTCCACAGTCAGCCAGGATGATGCCACTGCCCCCAGGAAACCCCTGGCCCCCATTTTGGAGGCCAGAGATCTAAAGGACTCCAGAATATCTGCTTTTGAACGTCAGGTACTGGATTAATCATTTTCCTGTTAGTTTTGGCCTCCTTAAAAAGTAGTCCTCCTATAAGACTTAGAAAGATACATCTTTGCTTCCAATTATTTTTTAAAAATCACTCTATCCACACAGCTTGTGTTTCTTACTTTGAGGAAGAAAATTCGGCAAAGATATGAGCAGATGTCAAAAACGTCCCCCAGAAACCCTACCCAATTAAAAATACTAACTGGTACTGAAGAACACCCAACAGCTCTCATGTAGCTAGGTCCATGAACACATTCCCTCTCTTTTTTAGTTACAACATATGCCAAGGCCTCTGCCAGAGGCAAACCCCACCCCCACCAGCCGCTGTGGGTTCTTCTCAGCAATGAAAAAACACACACACATGGACAAACACTTTAGCTACCCAACTGGCATTTCCTGCACAGAGGAGCAAAACCAAATGTGACATTTCCCCATCAATCCCATTAATTAAAAAATGCCTTCCTCTTTATGTTGTAGTGGGGACCTTGCTTGACTTCCTGCCCTCTGAAGTCACAAATTCAGCCAAGGCTGTTAACACACACAGTATTGAAATGCTTTGATTTAGAACCTGATGATAAAAGCAAAGGGCACTGACAAAAGGTGGTGTGGTGTATCGAAGGTTAGCGAGATTTAGGTTCAAATCCCAATTCTGAAACTTAGTAGTCATTCCCACTCCCTGAAGTTTCTTTATCTGTAAAATGGAGAAAATAATCCTTATAAGATCAATTTCACAGGGTTGTCATGAAGATCAAAGATTTTTGTCATCTAAAGAGTGCAAATAGTACTAGTCCCTGTTTTATGGAAGAGGAAACTGTTACTTAGAAAGGTTAAGTGATTTTGCTAAGCTCTGACAGTTACTAAGTGCTCGGCCCAGGTCTCCTAACTCTCAGTTCACTGTTCACTCATTCACCTAACAGACATCTATCAAGGACTATAATTTGCAAAACATTGTGCTTGGTGTTACAAAGTTTAGCTAAGACTTGGCCCCAGTTCTCATGGAACTTATATTTTAGTAGGAGGTTAAGATACAAAAAGATGATGATTAACATAAAATTTTTTAATTAAGTGTAACATCAATGTATAGAATGTGTTAGGTGAGATGTGAAAATGAAAGTCCTTTCTGACTTGAAGAGAGGAAGATCTGGGAAAGCTTCATAAAAGAAGTAGAATTTGTGCTAGATGTTAAAGGACATTTAGAAACTCAGCAAGCAAGAGGGAATGGAAAGCCTGTGGAATGAACTCCCCTCTCTCAAGTGGGTATAGGTACCTGCTCACCATAGAGAAAGCTGTTCCTAGAAGAGTACCAGTACCTCCTCTTCTTCAGCCTTTGTTGTTACTGGCTCAGTGATAGGGACACTGGAACTTCCTCCAACCTCCTTTGTGTATAGGTCAATTTTAGCAAAATGAGCTTCATTCCCAGAGGATTTGCAAACTGGGTATCACAGTACATATAAAGGGTTTTAAGCTCCCCAGAAGAAAAAAAATCCAACAAAAACATAAGCTATAATCATCATTCTGAGGGAATGAAGATTCACATGGTTCTTGATAATGCACAGTCTATCCAACTATATTCCACCTAAGGATGATTAGAAGCACAGAATACCATAGTTAAAAGAGCTTTAGAACAAAGAATGTTACATATGTCAGAGCTGAAGGAGTACTTAGACCATAGATTAATAGAAATGCAATAAACTCTAGAGCAAAAACTGTTAGGACATAGATCACGAAATGTTAAGAGTTGGAAGAAATGGTTAAGGGATAGAATTCTAGAACAAAAGATTTTGAGCAGAAGAGTGCTATAAACTACAATGGTTCAATTAACAAACTATGTTTAAGCTACTTTGCTTAGCATTCAAGGCCCTCCAAAATTTTATATTGCCCTTTTCCAGTCTTACCTCACAATGCTTTCTTTTACATATTCTGCATCCCAATCAAGTTAAAGGGGATTACTCTCTGTCCTCCAAATATGCTCTGAGCTTTCCTACATTCCTACATTTGCTCAAGCTGTTATGTATTTCTATAAATGTACTACCTATCCATCTTTACTCAACATCTTCCATGAAAACTTCTTTGATCTTTCCATATTCCTCACCTCTTTCCCCCTTATACCTTACATAGTATTTTGTACCTTTTTAATGTTATTATTTTTGGCTTCTCTTCTTCTAGAATGTCTTTAACTTCAATATATCTGAATTCTCAATCTATTGTTCTCTCTTTTGTTTCTTTGCTGAAGATTGTCATTGTAGATTCAAGTTTTTTTTTTATAATTTTAATTCTAGAATTCTATTATTTTTGCTGTGTTGGACATAAATTCTCTTTTCAATATTCTCATTTTTCTTTCCAACCACTCAGGAACAGCATGTTTTAGTTCTATATTCTCTTCAAATTCTACAAAGTCCCCTGTCTCATGAAGTGTTGGATCATTTTCCTTTGTGCTGCAGTATTTATTCACAGATGTATGAATTAGTTTATTAGATCTAAAGCCCAATTGTTACTGTTTTTCCTGTTGACATATTTGCTTATGTTCAAGGTGTTTGAGTTTTGTTCTTC